TCCTGCTGCTGCTGCTGCTCCTGCTCCTGCTCCTGCTCCTGCTGCTGCTCCTGCTCCTGCTGCTGCTCCTGCTCCTGCTCCTGCTGCTGCTCCTGCTCCTGCTGCTGCTGCTGCTCCTGCTCCTGCTCCTGCTCCTGCTGCTGCTCCTGCTCCTGCTGCTGCTCCTGCTCCTGCTCCTGCTGCTGCTCCTGCTCCTGCTGCTGCTGCTGCTCCTGCTCCTGCTCCTGCTCCTGCTGCTGCTCCTGCTCCTGCTGCTGCTCCTGCTCCTGCTCCTGCTGCTGCTCCTGCTCCTGCTGCTGCTGCTGCTCCTGCTCCTGCTCCTGCTCCTGCTGCTGCTCCTGCTCCTGCTGCTGCTCCTGCTCCTGCTCCTGCTGCTGCTCCTGCTCCTGCTGCTGCTGCTGCTCCTGCTCCTGCTCCTGCTCCTGCTGCTGCTCCTGCTCCTGCTGCTGCTCCTGCTCCTGCTCCTGCTGCTGCTCCTGCTCCTGCTGCTGCTGCTGCTCCTGCTCCTGCTCCTGCTCCTGCTGCTGCTCCTGCTCCTGCTGCTGCTCCTGCTCCTGCTCCTGCTGCTGCTCCTGCTCCTGCTGCTGCTGCTGCTCCTGCTCCTGCTCCTGCTCCTGCTGCTGCTCCTGCTCCTGCTGCTGCTCCTGCTCCTGCTCCTGCTGCTGCTCCTGCTCCTGCTGCTGCTGCTGCTCCTGCTCCTGCTCCTGCTCCTGCTGCTGCTCCTGCTCCTGCTGCTGCTCCTGCTCCTGCTCCTGCTGCTGCTCCTGCTCCTGCTGCTGCTGCTGCTCCTGCTCCTGCTCCTGCTCCTGCTGCTGCTCCTGCTCCTGCTGCTGCTCCTGCTCCTGCTCCTGCTGCTGCTCCTGCTCCTGCTGCTGCTGCTGCTCCTGCTCCTGCTCCTGCTCCTGCTGCTGCTCCTGCTCCTGCTGCTGCTCCTGCTCCTGCTCCTGCTGCTGCTCCTGCTCCTGCTGCTGCTGCTGCTCCTGCTCCTGCTCCTGCTCCTGCTGCTGCTCCTGCTCCTGCTGCTGCTCCTGCTCCTGCTCCTGCTGCTGCTCCTGCTCCTGCTGCTGCTGCTGCTCCTGCTCCTGCTCCTGCTCCTGCTGCTGCTCCTGCTCCTGCTGCTGCTCCTGCTCCTGCTCCTGCTGCTGCTCCTGCTCCTGCTGCTGCTGCTGCTCCTGCTCCTGCTCCTGCTCCTGCTGCTGCTCCTGCTCCTGCTGCTGCTCCTGCTCCTGCTCCTGCTGCTGCTCCTGCTCCTGCTGCTGCTGCTGCTCCTGCTCCTGCTCCTGCTCCTGCTGCTGCTCCTGCTCCTGCTGCTGCTCCTGCTCCTGCTCCTGCTGCTGCTCCTGCTCCTGCTGCTGCTGCTGCTCCTGCTCCTGCTCCTGCTCCTGCTGCTGCTCCTGCTCCTGCTGCTGCTCCTGCTCCTGCTCCTGCTGCTGCTCCTGCTCCTGCTGCTGCTGCTGCTCCTGCTCCTGCTCCTGCTCCTGCTGCTGCTCCTGCTCCTGCTGCTGCTCCTGCTCCTGCTCCTGCTGCTGCTCCTGCTCCTGCTGCTGCTGCTGCTCCTGCTCCTGCTCCTGCTCCTGCTGCTGCTCCTGCTCCTGCTGCTGCTCCTGCTCCTGCTCCTGCTGCTGCTCCTGCTCCTGCTGCTGCTGCTGCTCCTGCTCCTGCTCCTGCTCCTGCTGCTGCTCCTGCTCCTGCTGCTGCTCCTGCTCCTGCTCCTGCTGCTGCTCCTGCTCCTGCTGCTGCTGCTGCTCCTGCTCCTGCTCCTGCTCCTGCTGCTGCTCCTGCTCCTGCTGCTGCTCCTGCTCCTGCTCCTGCTGCTGCTCCTGCTCCTGCTGCTGCTGCTGCTCCTGCTCCTGCTCCTGCTCCTGCTGCTGCTCCTGCTCCTGCTGCTGCTCCTGCTCCTGCTCCTGCTGCTGCTCCTGCTCCTGCTGCTGCTGCTGCTCCTGCTCCTGCTCCTGCTCCTGCTGCTGCTCCTGCTCCTGCTGCTGCTCCTGCTCCTGCTCCTGCTGCTGCTCCTGCTCCTGCTGCTGCTGCTGCTCCTGCTCCTGCTCCTGCTCCTGCTGCTGCTCCTGCTCCTGCTGCTGCTCCTGCTCCTGCTCCTGCTGCTGCTCCTGCTCCTGCTGCTGCTGCTGCTCCTGCTCCTGCTCCTGCTCCTGCTGCTGCTCCTGCTCCTGCTGCTGCTCCTGCTCCTGCTCCTGCTGCTGCTCCTGCTCCTGCTGCTGCTGCTGCTCCTGCTCCTGCTCCTGCTCCTGCTGCTGCTCCTGCTCCTGCTGCTGCTCCTGCTCCTGCTCCTGCTGCTGCTCCTGCTCCTGCTGCTGCTGCTGCTCCTGCTCCTGCTCCTGCTCCTGCTGCTGCTCCTGCTCCTGCTGCTGCTCCTGCTCCTGCTCCTGCTGCTGCTCCTGCTCCTGCTGCTGCTGCTGCTCCTGCTCCTGCTCCTGCTCCTGCTGCTGCTCCTGCTCCTGCTGCTGCTCCTGCTCCTGCTCCTGCTGCTGCTCCTGCTCCTGCTGCTGCTGCTGCTCCTGCTCCTGCTCCTGCTCCTGCTGCTGCTCCTGCTCCTGCTGCTGCTCCTGCTCCTGCTCCTGCTGCTGCTCCTGCTCCTGCTGCTGCTGCTGCTCCTGCTCCTGCTCCTGCTCCTGCTGCTGCTCCTGCTCCTGCTGCTGCTCCTGCTCCTGCTCCTGCTGCTGCTCCTGCTCCTGCTGCTGCTGCTGCTCCTGCTCCTGCTCCTGCTCCTGCTGCTGCTCCTGCTCCTGCTGCTGCTCCTGCTCCTGCTCCTGCTGCTGCTCCTGCTCCTGCTGCTGCTGCTGCTCCTGCTCCTGCTCCTGCTCCTGCTGCTGCTCCTGCTCCTGCTGCTGCTCCTGCTCCTGCTCCTGCTGCTGCTCCTGCTCCTGCTGCTGCTGCTGCTCCTGCTCCTGCTCCTGCTCCTGCTGCTGCTCCTGCTCCTGCTGCTGCTCCTGCTCCTGCTCCTGCTGCTGCTCCTGCTCCTGCTGCTGCTGCTGCTCCTGCTCCTGCTCCTGCTCCTGCTGCTGCTCCTGCTCCTGCTGCTGCTCCTGCTCCTGCTCCTGCTGCTGCTCCTGCTCCTGCTGCTGCTGCTGCTCCTGCTCCTGCTCCTGCTCCTGCTGCTGCTCCTGCTCCTGCTGCTGCTCCTGCTCCTGCTCCTGCTGCTGCTCCTGCTCCTGCTGCTGCTGCTGCTCCTGCTCCTGCTCCTGCTCCTGCTGCTGCTCCTGCTCCTGCTGCTGCTCCTGCTCCTGCTCCTGCTGCTGCTCCTGCTCCTGCTGCTGCTGCTGCTCCTGCTCCTGCTCCTGCTCCTGCTGCTGCTCCTGCTCCTGCTGCTGCTCCTGCTCCTGCTCCTGCTGCTGCTCCTGCTCCTGCTGCTGCTGCTGCTCCTGCTCCTGCTCCTGCTCCTGCTGCTGCTCCTGCTCCTGCTGCTGCTCCTGCTCCTGCTCCTGCTGCTGCTCCTGCTCCTGCTGCTGCTGCTGCTCCTGCTCCTGCTCCTGCTCCTGCTGCTGCTCCTGCTCCTGCTGCTGCTCCTGCTCCTGCTCCTGCTGCTGCTCCTGCTCCTGCTGCTGCTGCTGCTCCTGCTCCTGCTCCTGCTCCTGCTGCTGCTCCTGCTCCTGCTGCTGCTCCTGCTCCTGCTCCTGCTGCTGCTCCTGCTCCTGCTGCTGCTGCTGCTCCTGCTCCTGCTCCTGCTCCTGCTGCTGCTCCTGCTCCTGCTGCTGCTCCTGCTCCTGCTCCTGCTGCTGCTCCTGCTCCTGCTGCTGCTGCTGCTCCTGCTCCTGCTCCTGCTCCTGCTGCTGCTCCTGCTCCTGCTGCTGCTCCTGCTCCTGCTCCTGCTGCTGCTCCTGCTCCTGCTGCTGCTGCTGCTCCTGCTCCTGCTCCTGCTCCTGCTGCTGCTCCTGCTCCTGCTGCTGCTCCTGCTCCTGCTCCTGCTGCTGCTCCTGCTCCTGCTGCTGCTGCTGCTCCTGCTCCTGCTCCTGCTCCTGCTGCTGCTCCTGCTCCTGCTGCTGCTCCTGCTCCTGCTCCTGCTGCTGCTCCTGCTCCTGCTGCTGCTGCTGCTCCTGCTCCTGCTCCTGCTCCTGCTGCTGCTCCTGCTCCTGCTGCTGCTCCTGCTCCTGCTCCTGCTGCTGCTCCTGCTCCTGCTGCTGCTGCTGCTCCTGCTCCTGCTCCTGCTCCTGCTGCTGCTCCTGCTCCTGCTGCTGCTCCTGCTCCTGCTCCTGCTGCTGCTCCTGCTCCTGCTGCTGCTGCTGCTCCTGCTCCTGCTCCTGCTCCTGCTGCTGCTCCTGCTCCTGCTGCTGCTCCTGCTCCTGCTCCTGCTGCTGCTCCTGCTCCTGCTGCTGCTGCTGCTCCTGCTCCTGCTCCTGCTCCTGCTGCTGCTCCTGCTCCTGCTGCTGCTCCTGCTCCTGCTCCTGCTGCTGCTCCTGCTCCTGCTGCTGCTGCTGCTCCTGCTCCTGCTCCTGCTCCTGCTGCTGCTCCTGCTCCTGCTGCTGCTCCTGCTCCTGCTCCTGCTGCTGCTCCTGCTCCTGCTGCTGCTGCTGCTCCTGCTCCTGCTCCTGCTCCTGCTGCTGCTCCTGCTCCTGCTGCTGCTCCTGCTCCTGCTCCTGCTGCTGCTCCTGCTCCTGCTGCTGCTGCTGCTCCTGCTCCTGCTCCTGCTCCTGCTGCTGCTCCTGCTCCTGCTGCTGCTCCTGCTCCTGCTCCTGCTGCTGCTCCTGCTCCTGCTGCTGCTGCTGCTCCTGCTCCTGCTCCTGCTCCTGCTGCTGCTCCTGCTCCTGCTGCTGCTCCTGCTCCTGCTCCTGCTGCTGCTCCTGCTCCTGCTGCTGCTGCTGCTCCTGCTCCTGCTCCTGCTCCTGCTGCTGCTCCTGCTCCTGCTGCTGCTCCTGCTCCTGCTCCTGCTGCTGCTCCTGCTCCTGCTGCTGCTGCTGCTCCTGCTCCTGCTCCTGCTCCTGCTGCTGCTCCTGCTCCTGCTGCTGCTCCTGCTCCTGCTCCTGCTGCTGCTCCTGCTCCTGCTGCTGCTGCCACCGCCTGGTGGGAGAGATACGAGGAGTTTGTGGGGCTCAACGAGGTCCGAGAGGCCCAGGGGAACGTGGCGGAGGTGAGGAGGCCGGGGGGAGGGCGTCCTCTGACCCGGGAAACGGCCGGTGGCTCCTGCCAGACAGGTCG